TCAGTAGCTGAGTGGATAACGCGATGGCGTTTGAAGCAAAAGGTACTGGCTTCGAGTCCTAGAGTGAACACCAACTCTGAGATGTAGGTACATCCAGCTGACGAGTCCCAAATGGATTACACTGCTAGCCACTGTCCATCTTTGCTTATCATAAAAATTTGTTTTTAGTTATAAAATTAGTGTTTATCTAATCTACCAGAAGTGAATTTAGTTATATTTTCTATTTGATCTATTAGAAAACATTTTTCTAATGATCGGGTATAATTTATTCTTTCCCACCCAAAAAAGCTTAGTTTATTAAGTATTTTCCACTGAACATTCATACTCCAAATAAGTTTCGAATAAAACATATGGACAAGTTAACTTTCTCAGTGATTTTATACTTTATTGAACAGCGTTTTATATGATGTCGTTTCAGAGACAAGTTGGAATATTTTGTTCTATACTGTATGAACTATCAGTGAATATATATTGCTGATATTGTTGAGGTCTTTGTGCTAGATGATTTAATTATGGATTTTGTTCACAAAGACAGTGTAAAGTCTATAGTTATGTTATCTAGCTCAGAGCACTTAATAGTAATCATAGTAATTAAAGGTTAATTAATACACAATCTGGAAAACAAAGTCAGTAGTAGGTGTGTCAATTATATGAACCTTGTATTTCTATTTGATTCTCAGTCTAACTTATATTGATACCCGGATAATACTAAATGGTAACAAAATTGACAAAAGTTCTTATCAAAACGAGATTTGTAAAAGAAATAAAAGCCATATTAAAATAGAGAAGTGAAATTAGCTAGTAGGAAGGATTCACGATAACAGTGAGTGGATTTGATAACTGTTTCAGCGAATCCGGTCCATTTGATACTGAGTTGAAATCCAATGGTTTATGCATTTAATCGTCATCACTAACTGAAAGAAGTCAGATCACAAGATGCCAACTTAATAGTCTAACGTAAACGGCATCGTCTTAAGGAATGGTAGATCTGGTATCTGATCTCTACTGAGGTAGTGGCTTAAAATTACAGAAAAGTTTTAAGCTAGAAAACAAGACTTGTCCATTGATCCCTGATTTCAGTGATTTCATAGGTTATGTTAATTTTTGATTAAATATCATAATTTTTGATGATTTATTAAACAGATTTCTTTCCAAAAAAGATGTTAGTTAATTAATTTTGGTTTGTTTACTTTTGTTTTATAAACAATAAGATTTTATCCCAAGTATTGGACCAAATACTAATTTAGACGAATTGTTTGTCAGAAAAAACGTCTTTGTACATTGATCGTTAAAATATACCATTATTAAGATTAGTTCAACAATAGTTAAAACAATCCACTATTTGTTTAAAATGTTATAAATAACACAACCAACATATTTACAGTTTATCAAATAGTTTGTTCTTGTTCACCACTTATCAACTAACTAACTGTAAACTAATCTGTATTTATTATCAGAAGGGGTTTTGTGGATATTATAGTAATTTTAATAGTTGAGATCATGAATCGATTGAAGCTAGACCACCATGAAATAGTGACCAGTGGATTTCAACCATTTCTATTGTGAGATAGTAACTCACTGAAGACATTGGTGGATGTGTCACTCAATTTCGTGGATTGGTTGAATTTAGACTTTAGCACTACTGGATGACGGCCGGTTCGGTGGTCTAGAGGTTAAGCGCTCGTGCGCGAGACTGATAAGTCGTGGGTTCGAATCTCGCGACGCGGGATCGTGGATGCGCACTGCTGAGGAGTCCCACAATAGGACGAAACGGCCGTCCAATGCTTTCAGGTTTTCTATGGTGATCTAGCTTCAATTGATTCATGATCTCAACTATTAAAATTAATCTGTATTTGTCATGTCACAATGAATCATCGTTTTTAAAACTATTTTTATTATAACGTTCAATCATGCATGTAACCAATTATTGTAATCATTTGTTAATAAGTATTTTATAGATTTGTTAATCAAATAGAGAATATTTTGGTGAAATAATACTTTCATAGTGGATACATTTTACAGTCCACTGTCTCATAATATATGAATAATCATGGGATTTACGTTATAGATTATCTCATAATTTGATTGTATGAATAGTTTAAGAATCAACATAAATATAAGATTCTAGTTTAACATGTGGCATAAAATCCAATATGCAAATTGATTACTGATCGCTGTTGCTATTTGTCTTCATTAAAAAAGGAACCATTAATCTAGTTACCTAGGCATTGTGCTTAAGTATAGTAGATCCTTATAGTTTGTTTGTCAGAGTGGGCTCCAGCTCAAGAAACTAGTCATCAGTAATTTGGAAAATTTTCATGTGAATTGAAGAAATAATGTCAATTTTCAGCTTAAAAGGACAAATTTAACTCATACTGACAGTTTTATTTGTTATAACAGTGACTGATTATAGGATGAACTTTCAATTTATTAATTAATTATACATTATTGTATATTACCTGGATCACAAGAAAATAAATTATCACTCATTAGTACATAAAACAGTTATATTACGATGGGGGGTTTACGATTTTGTTGAGTACCATAGTTACGTCACGAAATGACGTATATATTATTTAGTTATTTGAACACATAAATGTTGGTACAAAAAGGCACAGAATACATATGTGCCACACAAGTCACTTGATTTGTACGTGGACTGTGATAATGCCCGGTTGCCCAGACCGAAGCAAGTGGTTTCCTTAGGGAGCCACACCCGGAGCCTTCGACCTAGTGGTCTGATGCACAAGACAGTGGAGAAACGTTAGAAGATGCAGTCCCACTATAGCCGGTGACCAATAATTGGTTCATACGCCATTTGTTCCTTCAGGATCTTGAAGTCCATGTGCACCATTGGTTTGGAATAAGGGTTTTTCAACTCCCCTAGCTGAACTTTCCGTGTCCGCCAACCCGGTTAAAGCGCTGGACATTCGCTCTTCGTTCTCTCAATTTTGTGAACGACACCTCCACCACGAGAAGGCAGTGAGTAGGACTTCCATGACATTGGCTGTATATGCGTGGCTACGTGAGAGCATTTCGAGAGGGAAAGCTGATTCTCCTCACTCTCGGTCGTAGCAGAGCATGTTTTAATAAACTATTATATTTAAGATATAATAAACTATGTGATTTACAAATTCAAAAAGTTAATTATTTGAATTAATTTTCGTAACTAGTATTAAATGAACACCAAATTCATGCGACAGTTTTTAATTCACGATGTATTGTGGTGATCGAGAGCACACAAGTGGGGACAATCGAATGTATTTGTATACAAAATTACAAAATATCTTAGTCAAATCTGAGAATTATGCAGTAAATACTTCACTTGCAAAACGTTAATAAATTGTTTCAGACTTCATTGTTTTTCCCCATACCAATCACTTTCTGTTCTCGTTCATTTCTCTACCGTCAGGCATTCCACTTTCGACTGATGCTACATACTACTTGTATCTATCGACACCAGTAGCATATACCACAGTATCACATAATTCATGCTAATTAACGAACCACATTTTATTAATAGTCTTTTAAACTGATAATTTGTATCGGTCACTTGTTCTGATGAAATGAAATTATTCTTTCCTTGATTAGTATTTTGAAATGTTTATCAACTCTTAATTAACAAATTATAGTAAAACAAAACTATCTCTTTTCTTTTTTAATGAATGAACAACGCTATTCAATAATTCGTTTTGTAATAGCTAATTGCTTTGAAATAATTAACTCATAACTGTTTTCCTTCTGAATGTTCAAGGTTATGAAATTGTCTTGTGGATTTTTTTCCCAAGTTTTTCATATGAGCCTTGTTCAATTGTAAAAAAGAAACCATGATCGTAATAATAAATATAATAATAATCTTTTATCACTAAAGTTATTAATTGTCTGATTATTAGAGTTAATTATATACAAGAAACAAATTAAAGCATCAGTGATGAATAAAGACTTTCAAATCTTGAATAACGAACTACCGATCAAGTTGTATATAGTATTCAATATTAGCTTGATAAATATTTTATTGTTAGAAGGTGTTTTGTGGGTATCATAGTGATTTTAATAGTTGAGATTATGAATCCAATAAATCTAGACTACTATGGAAAATCTGGAAGCACTAGACGGCCGTTTCGTCCTATTGTGGGACCCCTCAGCAGTGCGCATCCACGATCCCGCCTCGCGACGTTCGAACCCAGGACCTATCAGTTTCATGCGCAAGGTCTGTTGTGAGATTTCAACTCAATGATGACATTGGTGAATGGTTTCTCAATTTCGTGGATTGGTTGAAGTTAGACATTAACACAGTTGGATGATGGTCGGCTCAGTGGTCTAGTGGTTAAGCGCTGGCGCGCGAGACCGATTGGTCCTGGGTTCGAATCTTGTGAGGCAGGATCGTGGATGCGTACTGCTGAGGAGTCCCATGATAGGACGAAACGGCCGTCCAGTGCTTCCATCTTTTCCATGGTGGTCTAGTTTTAATTGATTCATGATCGCAACTACTAAAAATTTTTGTTTTAGATTAAACTTATTGGAATAATGTAAAATCATTGTTATTATCGTAGGTATCATTACTAGGGTTTGACTTGACAATTTCGAATAAGTTGAGCATCGAGTAGATTGTTATAAATAAAACTATAATATTTGTAATATCCCGATGAGTAGAACAATAAGATTTTCTGACGTTTCGTGATTTAGTGTAAACCACTTCATCGAAAAATAAATAGTCAAATAATCCAAGTTTGAATAATACAAAGGAACAATGCAAGAATATCATGTGCAATTGACTTGTTCAGATCTTTTTTTCGATTGATCACACATAACATTCTTACATTGTTCCTTCATACTTTTTAAACTTAAATTAATTTTGATTTGATTATTTATTCTCTAAAGAAACGGCTTACACTGAGTCATGAAACTTCAGGAAATCTAATTCTTCTACTCATTGAGATATTACAAATATATTAATCTACTTATCCTTATTTTGTTTAAATTTTTATTATCAATGTACAGTAAAATCAAAATGTAAATTTATTAACAAATAAAGGGTCACAGTGTTACATTTTGGGGAGCAATAAACACTGTATAGTGAAGTAAATCCTCTTTCTAGTTGACTCTCAATCTTCTTTTTAAATGCCTTAATTCTTATGTGTAAGATGTTGTTTTACGCATTTAGTTTTGAAAAATACAAATACATATTTAGAAAATATATAGTCCAATAATAGAATAATTCGTCACAAATTCTTAATATAATCAATTAAACCTGTTTTTGAATAAGTGTACTACAAAGAAATGATATAATCATCCAGAACAAAAACAAACACTCAGTGTATACATAATAAATAAATAAATATATTACTACTACTACTACTACCACCACCATTAATGGTAGTTTAGAATGATAATGTAAATTTGAAAAGTGTATATTTCCTAAAGTAAACATAATCATCATAATCAGGCCCTAAAATAATAAATTTGTTTTTAAAACACAAGTACATTGATTATGTAACAGGATTTCGAGAGGAATGAAGACCAATAGGTGAACAAAATGTTGAAAATTAACGTTTTATTTTGAAAATTACTTGTAAGTTAATTTAAATTTGATTTTTACAAAGTTGGTTTTTTATTAACAAAGAAAAGCTACATATTACTGATAAAATTAGTACGCATATATAAAGAATTTACAGTATATAAATTGAAGTGGATTCATTTCCTGTCATACTGTTTAGTCACCCTTGCTTTCAAGAGCTGTCATTTAAAAACAAAAATCATAAAACAAAATGACTTTAAGAAGTAAAATATAATAGTTTTCTTTTTCTTACACTGTATTATGTTTACAACTCATTACATTGAACAGTATAATATACTTTAGAAGATAAATGTGTGGACTACTGATTACCTTTAATCAGTAATATTTCAGATGAAATAACTAATTATCGTCAAATTTAACAAGAAAAAATCACGTGATTATGAAAAAAAGAAATTCAACAAAATTTATGGTATAAGTTTATATGCAGATGTATATGGGTTGTATGTTTCGTGTATTTGAAGATAGTTTCGTTTTACCTTGAAATTGTGTGCCGATTTCCGGTTTAATTTGTTTTCTATGTACAATTAAAGAAATTATCAATGTTTTCTTTTGGATGAGTTATGAACGATTAGTTTCTATGATTTGGCATAGAGATATACCTAAACATGTTTCAGGTAATGTACCTTGTGCAAATATACTTATCCAGTAAATACTACTCATTATGCAAAAACATACAGTTATTAACGTTTTCAATCCTGTTAAACAATAAGGTGAAGGATAATTATTTACATTAAAGTTATGTACATTCATGAATGGTGTTATGGATGAACTGCACAGATGCTGATGTCGACAAAACGCGCTGAAAGCAGCAGCTGTAGGAGATGATGATAAATTAGCATGATTATCAGCATTATTATCAGCGAGAAAGTGTGACTGGCATATATGACAATCAGGTTGATTTAAATCACCGCCCAATAAATTGACATTATTAACTCTTCGCGAATTTCTCCATCTTAATCCACGAAATGTACCATTATTTACTCCATTACCGGATTCCGAACTACCTGAGCATAAATAATTGTCACCATAATTCTCCTGTGAAATTATAAACAGAGTAGAAGTAGAATATTATGTAGAATTGGTGAAATTTACGTTTCAAGAGGAGATCTATCAATACTTATTTGTAACAGATATTACTATCTTAGATAAGAAACTGATAAATGCAAGGACTTGCTAATATATATATATATATATATATATATATATATATATATACTATTGATGTATTGTTTTGTACAGAAAGAATATTCTGCTACATCGCTGACTATTAATTAGTGTATTAATCATGTAGTACAAGTAGGATAAAACTTGTTTACCCATGGTTGTTTAGATTGACCTAAAGTACTCCATTTGTATGATAGAATTATAAGTGATAGTTAAAACAGTACATGGTAAAATATGATTAACAATGACTATGTAAAGAATATGATATTATAGAATAGTTCACAAACAATTGCAAATGAAGGTATCCGTTAATAGGTCAGGTTCAATCTAAATGCAGTGAACATTAATTAATATGGTACTATTTATCTGTAGATTGTAGAACATCAAGCGCATTTGAAATGTTTTATTACTATTTGAAAGACTAACGTTCATCAGGAAATATTGTTTCGACTAAAAAGTGCATTAATCATTTGGAAATAAAGTTGTATCCATCGTGTTTAGTAAACCTTTGTACTTACCACATGATAGCCATTTGATATTGTAAGTTGTGTTGATTTTTCCAAACATTATTTAGTTTCTTGATTAGGCTAACGTATGTGGTGAATTGACTTCCCTATCGATCACACTTTTTTTAGGAATATTAATATAACCTTTCATTTAGAGAAGTAATAATTTTGCTAGTATGTTTATGAACGTTTTCTATTGTAAAGACATTTTACAACACGAACTGACTACAACTAGAAGATAATTTAGCACCCTTTAGTCGTAGATAGATACTTCTGTCTTGTATGACATACTTCAGTAGACTGCACAGGCGAACATACCAATGATTAAACACAAGAATTTTCTTATCTTTGTGATGGTGTTACTTTTACACCAATGCATTGATATTTAATCGTTAACATCTCCGAAATCAGTTGATTTGCGATAGTGAACGATCGGATAAACAAACGTATTTTTTATTAACAAGATTCTATATAGAAGTCCCCCATGAAGTTTAACAATTTTGATATTTTTCAAAATATTCAAACAGAACCTTAATTTCTAATATTTTGGATTGTCGCGTTCAAACTCCAAAGTGTTGTCTAATTAGTTATTGAATTCAGATACTCAGTTACTTGTACAAAGGGACAAAACAAGCGTCCTAGATTCCACTGATGGCCACATTCCGTCTATTCTATATAAATGTAATAATAGTTAAATTTTGAAAATATCAGTCTCTGACTCAGTTGAAATTGTCAAATTTGTTTTTATGGATAAAATATGAAAAGGTTTTTATTTATGCACAATTTCAATCACTAAAATGGCTAGGTGAACTTACTCTCTTGTTGGCTGATAAGCCCATTGCTTGTGTAAATCCTATAGGTCCAGGACTATTATTTGCAGTTGGATTTGTTTGCAATATTGGTATGGTTTGGCATGCATGGCCACTTCCGCCGGATAGACCACAACTACTGTTACTATAACAAACAGCTGTACCATTTGATGAAATAAATCCTGTACTTGTTCTTCCTGCTACACAACTAGTACACGAATCAGGGCATCCACCACAATTTCCACAACACCCATAACTTTGCATTATTCCTGGTCCATTCATTCGTTCATTAACTGGACCTTCTGTATTAAAGCCTGCTGTAGTTGTTTTATTCTGATTCGAACCAAATGACGACAAACGATACAAATGTTGATATTTTCGTTGAAGAAATCGACAAACAAATCGATGATGAATTAAAACAAATAAGTAGATTAAACAAATTGAACTTGAACACATTAAACACCATACATTAAGAAATCCGGATAATTTAGAGTTATTTAAGTTTTGTTCATTCATCCACAGCCAAAATGAAATTGAAAATAGAAATAGAATCAATTGTGTACAACTAAGATTATGTGTACCCAGTTGATTTGTCCATAACAATATGATAGAGATTAATACAAGTAGCATTGGAGGTAAACTACCTTGTAATATTCTGCCACTTTGGGAAAAACAAATATTAATTCCCAGACTTTGATCTGGACCTAAAAATTCATTAAAAACACATGATAACACTTTTAATCAAGTGAATTTTGATTAAACTAATTCTGCATAAATTATAATGTAAAGATGTGGCAAGATACTTGATATGCTTGAACTAAGTCGATTTCGCGGTAACGAACGAAGGCCAATGACACAATGACACGATAAGCTAATCTAATCTGTTGTCCCAGGCTCCGATAACTAGATGAAGAAGTCCAAGGCAAGGTAGGGGAATATATATATTCCGTAACCAGCTGAGTACAAGCAAGTCACAAGGGGAAAAACTCAAACGTATATATACAGCAACAAACTGTCCTTAGGCATCATCATAAAATAGCACACTCAAAAAAACAATTGACCAAAAGCGTTTAAGATAGTTAACAAGTGGGAAATATGACGTCAAGGTAAAAAGAGCACTTTTGGCGCGAAAACCGCTAAATTCAAATTTTCAAAATAAAATTACAAAATTAAGCCATTTATCAAGTAAGTTCTGGGGATTTGACTTCTCCAACAATACTTTTGAATTAGTTGGGGGGAAACTATAGCACTCATCTCAAAATCTAAGCGTTTGGGAGTAAACGATTAGTGTTTTCTTAGTAAGATTTTGGATATTATGTAAAGATGGAATTGAGTTATAGGTGACATAGCAGAGATTATATAAAATCATTTGCAATGTTGAAAGTGAAATAGCTTTTTTCGGAAATCTTCGACTGAAAACGTAATTTTTCAGCTAAGAAAATAATACAATCCTAAATGAAATCATTTTATGACACCGTCTTATGTAATGTAGTGTTATTTATTATAGATTTTTGATCTGATCTATTGACATTTTCTTTTTCGAGCTAATTTTTTTTCAAGAGAGTTAATTTCAGTTGTCAATCCCGATTAAAATGTCATGTGATAAGGCATGTATGTAGAACAAGGACTTTATACACATAAATCTTTATAGATAATTGCTCGAATGATAGAAAGCTCACTAGCAAAATCATCAATTTAATTTGAAATAATCTAATAAAAGGTTTTGGAAAGTCATAAACTTGTTTCAAATATCACAGTCTACCGAAGACCGTAGAGGAAAACTTGAGAAGATCGAAATTGAAATTGTTAGCCTTTAAATACAAATGATTAATTCGCGAATCAGGTTATGCCCACCTGATTTTTCTTAGCAAGTCACGATAGTCTAAATGGGTTGGTGAGTGAATGTACATCTTCCTGAATGGTACATATTTGCTGAGTTTTGGTCAGTAAACATTTACAATTTAGCAAGAAATGATCTAATCTAAACAGAATGAACATTTCACTGTATGATGGTGGGATATTCGTTCAGAACGGGTCAGGTTTTGATCACTAATGCTAATAAAGAATTAGTTAATCTAATCAAGGGATTATATATGGTAAATTTTATAACACAACATCAGGGTTCGTGCCAAATGGGAGAGTTTTATTCCCTTTCTCAAAATTCTAAAGTATAAAATTCATCTTTAGGAGTTTATAGTTTACTAAGTTGCTAACAAGCTTTGGGTATAATTTTGTCGTACAAATAATGTATCCACCAGTTATTTTGAAAACAAACCTTATGTCACCTACCGGATTTATCAATATGTTCATCATAGCGTTTTGTCACACTTAGATAAGATGATTTCCTTTGTACATCATTTGAGAGCAGACAACATTTACGTTCAGTCCACTTGATGATTGGTTGTGTTTTCATGAAACCTTCTGAAAAATTAATAAGATAATCAAACAGTACACTAAATTAAAGAGAAATCAGTGATTAGGTAACTTTTCATCACATCTAATGAATTGCTAAATATTTACAGTAGCAACCGAAAAACAATTCACAAATAGCAAATTAAACAATCTTTTACAATAAATCCATCTACATAATTCTGTACAAAAGTTTCAGCTGTGAAATACACATTATAAAATGCATATAACTTGTAGTAAGTGACGGTCATAGTGATGTATGAAGTAACTGTGTTATGACAATAGATATTAGTTGGTTTTGAAATAATGGTCGAATTGTACTGTGTATTATGCGCAGTGCCATAATCAATAGAGGTGCATGATTGAGGATGGATAAATCATGGCAAAACGTAGGTTAAATGCATTCTAGCTTGTAATGATTATCATAATGGCAACAGTTGACAGTTAAAGAAGTATGTAACGTCATTTGTTTTACACTTTTACAAATCTTACAATAATCTAACTCAAAGAGAAATAAGCTGGATTATTGACAGTTTTTTTAGTACTTAGAAATCTAAATTATGTTCATATGAATGTTCGAATATACTATTTCTCTTAATCGACAGTTGATTTCATTGTGTTCGTCAACTCTGATATTCATCAATTTACTAAAAAATTTAACTAGTACAAAAAAACATGTTACAAGTTCCCGCTGTGAAATAAAGTTTATAAAGCACAAACGATCTTTAATGATGTCCTAATGTTTAAATATTTTCATGGTTCAATAAAGCTAATTAAGACCATTATTAAGATGTCATTTAATGGTGGATACGTTTTAATTACGAAGTAGGCGTCATATATGTTTATACCCAATGTAGCCAAAGTATTACCTTTTTTAATACATAATAAATAAATGGTTTTTAATTTAAGCGTTTGTAGAGTCATACTAAAAGTAGGGTAGTCATTTCAAACAGAAATTTGAATAAAGATGGATATTAGCTATCAGTGGAATCCAGGACACGTGTTTCATCCTATTCAGGACTCGCCTGCTGGGTGTACCTACATCTCAGAGTTGATGTTCACTCTGGGACTCGCGTTATCCACTTAGCTACTTAGTCCTGATGGACATCTGCTTGTGCAATGGAGTGAAGTTTAAATTCCCTTGGTGTTGTTTACTTGTATCTTCCTATTGTAATACAGGTACGTCCAGCTGACAAGCCCCAAATGGGATGAAACGCGCGTCCTAGATTCCACTGATAGCGAGTATCCATCTTTCCTCGTAAAGCTTGTGACTTCAGGCAATATCGAGGCTGTCCGCAGAGGATGCACATATGTCAACAAGAAACTGATCAATTGCAGTCTTAAATAACAATGGAAAGATACAAGTAAACAACACCAAGTGAATTTAGAACTTAGAATGTTTCGACAGGAGACCTCTATTCTTCTAATTCTTTTTAACAAAAATAGATATGTTGTCATAAGAACATATACAGTTGAGCGGTTATAAACAGAAACAATTATCAGTTAATTATTTGTTTTCAAGGTTTTATATTTTACCCAGAATAATCCAAATAAAATAATTTATTGTGAGGATATTTATTTTCTTAAAAAGAAAACATTCAAGTTCGATGGGTTTACAGTCATCTTTATATAACCCAATAGTTTAGTGAATGGCGTCTACAAAGTGAGAATAAAAGTAGGTAGACAAACGTACTTTTTTTTATCTTACTGCTCACCTAAACGCTTATCCTAAAGACTGGAGTTATTGAAATGTCATGATTTGCTTCTAAGATAATTTTCTTTATTTAAAAAAAAGAATAACAAACTTCTGTCTATTATTAATCTATGGATTCACTTTATTGTCAATTGTTTGAGATTTTCATGAATAGCAATGAATCACAAAGGTTATAGCCGGCTTACTTCTAACATGTCACAATAAATCGGTGAAAGGGATTTTATTTATGGGTGAAACGATTGTCCTCATAATAATCAGAACTAAACTCATTGTTATTTGATATAAAGATGCTTGTAAAAATCTACCTAATCTCTCGGTACAAGTATTTGACAAAAAAAAGAATTACAAACAATTATCCATTATCAATTATTTTTAATAGTTGAGCGTCTGTTTTGATTTTTTTCGTAATGCCGCCTATCAAGTTTGAATAGATGTATGAAACCATGTTATTTAAAAAGACTTCACTGTAGGATCAAACTATTCTGTTTAAAACGTAAAACTGCTGGATAGTATTTAGTTCCTCTATAAACCAATGTGAATCTATTCTCTTACAGTCCATATTTAAAATGTGAATTAAGGACTAGTTCATCACTGAAATTGTAGCAGTTCATCAATTCACATTTATTTTATATGTACTAAACAGTCCTGTTCATTTTCGTGTTCTACCATGATATTGAATATTCCTGAAAAAAACTTATATAAAAATAAAAATAGTATACATTTCATCTTTACCTTGTTTTATCCATACTGGACAAACAATAGCACCAATATGATGGAATTTTTTTGGCTCTTGACATGGAACTTCCACGACGATGCTAGAAATTCAAAAATATAAATAAACTCTCTCATTAGTAAATGGAAGGTTTTGGTAATTTAATATTGAATTCAAATAAAGTTTTCAAAATGAAAAAGTGTCATTTAGATAGCCGTAAAAGTCACAAGGAAAACTAAATCGCTATTTAGTTCTTCTTTCGAATTTCTTAACAATGAACAACTATTATTTCACACAGTATTCAACCGAGGGTTTTCGGGTCTTGGTGATGCATGTCCGTGGTAAAACCTGACTTGAATTTAAAATGTCTCTACGAGTCACTTATATTATTAATAATTTTGTGCACAGTGATGGTTAATCGGGGGGGGCAGGTTGCCGAAGTTCTATATTGATGCAAATATTATCATTGGTATTGGATGGTTACACCACTATATGACTACATGACTAAAATTGCAAATAGAAACCATAAATTCTCATACATTGGTCTAAAAGCATCGTACTCTTCACATAACCTAAATACATTAGGATGATTTTCATTCATTCCCCATTCGTTTTTTATTTCTCTCTTTGCATCCAGCATAGTAAGTTTTAATTAGAATGAAAAAAATTATGTCTCTCCTAAAAACAGTGAAACCCCTTAATGTACATAAACTTATGTTTAAGAAATGATATCAGTGTATGAAGACTAGTTATGCCTTTAACTTGCCAGTAGTCAATGCAAACATATGAATTTACTGAAAAGTAATACACTTAAAAATTACAGAGTTAACCCCCTTTTTTATTCTTATTTGTAAACCTAGATAGGATAAACCTTTAAACGTAGATGTATCATTCATTAAATTGTATTAGGATTCATTGAAATATATTCTGACGATTTAAAGTATCAAACTAAGATTGTCTCACGTTTTCAGTCGACTGAGTTTCTCAGAAGCTTTTTTTTCTTTTTCAAATAAAAAACCTACAAAAAAAATGTAACATCTAGAAACTAATTTAACTTTGACTAAGTTTCTATGTAGGTTGTCTTTATTGATTTTGTTACAAATAATTGTTAAAATTAAACAAGAAAAGAAAGTGTTTTAATGTACACATTCAACAATGGTGATCTCCTTTTACAATTATGTTATGATTATTATTATTATTTTATATTACCTTTTATTTTCTGATTCGAAGAATTTTAGGTCATAGAAATGAGTTAGAATATAAGTGAATTACATTAATATATAATATTAGCAAAATACTCTAGATTCATTGTATACAAATATTATCTATTTAGTACAGTTGAGGTCATTATAAGGACAGAAATGAGTAATTATTTATTAAGTAATATATATAATGTAAATATTAATTTTTGGATTTACAATGAATCTCTTTGAATATTTATTAAGTCTATTGAAGATATATTACAATTTTTTTTATACCTTATAAGACTCTTTGTATTAAAGCTTATTAAGTATATTGAATGGTAACGTTTACTACATGTCATAAAGTGTTCACATGTTGCGAATATACTTCATAAGATTATCTAAAAAAATCTGTGAAACTTTAATAATTGGAAAAATTCCACAAAACCCCCTTCTGATAATGATCATATGCTCACTAGTGACTGGCTCTATCAGGTATTTCCTGGAGTTCTAGTGAGAAGCAGTAACCAGTAGAGTTCAACCAGATCTGTTGAGAGATACCAACTCACTGAAGATATTGGTGAATGGTTGCTCGATTTTGTGGATTGGTTGAAGTTAGACATTAACACCGTTGGATACATGACGGCTCAGTGGTCTAGAGGCTAAGTGCTCTGGCGAGAGACTGGTAGGTCCTGGTATAGCAACCATCCTACAATCAATTTCGATTATAGCCAATTTTGGTTAAGCCCTTTTTTATAACTTACTTAACAGACATTGTCATTTGGATAGTAACAATTTGCATATTCTTTGCACTGCAATAACACTAGAGCACATGACACTCTAGCCGAAATGTTGACTGCTTAAATATCATTCGATGACTCATACTCCTCCCCATATATGTATGCACACAAATATTATTATCAGCCTTTGTTTTGCTTTGCTGTGCCCTTATTAAATTTGACTATAAATTGCCTATGTAATTGCTTGCTACTCTCTCGCTCGCTCGCTTGCTCCTCGTTCGTTTCCTTCGCTTGTTTGCCTGTTCACTCGCTCGTTCATATTCGCTCAGGTGTTGTTAGCTTCCGAACCTGAGTCATTCGACAATAAACTGTAGTTGCTGCTATCCTTTGTCTTCTGATTTTACGCACCGTTAAGTTTAGAATTATAACGGTTATCGAAGTAAACGGTTAACGAATCGCGGCACTACACTGGGTTCGTATCTTGCTCGCGAGGCGGGATCGTGGATGCACACTACTGGGGAGTCCCACAATGGGATGAAACGGCCGTCCAGTGCTTCCAGGTTTTCCATGGTGGTCTAGACTAAACTGACTCATGATGTCAACTATATAAAATTACTAGAATCTCCACAAAATCGGATGAGTTCCAAATAGAACGAAACGCGCGTCCTGTATTCTGCTGTTAGCCACTATCCATCTTTGCTTATAAAACATAGTTTGTTGTTAAAGTCATCAATTACTGAAAGTAAGTCACCTAAGAAATACTGCCTTTATTATATAATGTGTATTAAAGATAGTAATCGGCTCTAGAGTATGCACGAATTCAAACCTTAAATGAAATTCAAGAATAAATCATCATTACTCAATCAAGTGACCAGAATATAGTTATTGTAATTTTTCCGTGTTTGCTTAGTGGTTAACGTTTAATCGTTTAAAAGCACTTTTTATCGAACGATTAATGTGCAATTTTTATCAGGCTACTTGTCATTTCAACATTGTTGTATCGAAAAGCAATATCCTTAATATAATTTTCTAGGACTTTATAAATCATACCTCTAGTTGTTCGTAAGTAGTTGACGAACCTCATGTTACGAGTCAAAATGACCATGTAATGTGTGATTAAAAGTAGACTGACTAGACTAAACAAAAACCCTAGAAATGTTTTCTTGAAAACTACATGTAGTCGAACAAATTGATGAATGTTATATTATGCCATTGTACTAAGTATTTCTTCATCTATTCACTGCTACTAATCGAGACATTTAAATCAGATCAGTGAAAATCTTTTGTAAAAACTTTATCCGACTGTACGCTATCGACTTTGTATCAAATTTTCTTTTTGCTATTAACTGATCATAGAGTTGAAAACTGACTGGATGTTTAAAAAATAAACTATATAGAGTTCTCTTCGTAGCCAAGGATATCTAGTATTAGTGCTATACCTGGACATTTCTAAGGCCTTCGACATGGTCAACCACCAACTTCTCATAGGTAAACTCGCATCTTATGGGGTCCAAAACCCGTTACTAGCCTGGTTTGATTCCTTCCTCAGCAATCGATATCAAATAGTTAAAATCAACTCTTCATTGTCGAATGCCGTCCCTGTTAGAAGTGGGGTAGTTCAGGGTAGTGTCTTAGGTCCTTTGCTCTTTTTAGTTTTCACTAATGACATTTGTGAGTGTTTTAGTGAGGGTAAGTCCTTTTTGTATGCAGACGATCTTAAGGTGGTGTACTCATTTTCTCTACATGAGCTGAGCAATATTCAAAATTGTATCAGCACGGAGCTTAACAAGGTAGCACAGTGGTGCTCGAAATGGCAACTGGAGCTTAATAGAGCTAAATGTGGATGGTTATGCTTCGGTGATACATCACTCAACCTCGATCTTACCATAAATGGTGAAGTGTTATCTAGGTTACAAACAGTAGTAGATCTAGGACTTGGGTACTCCGACGACTTGTCGTTTACTGAACAGATAATGAAACAAACGTCCACGTCTCAACGCCTTATAGGTTACATAACTCGAAACCTTCATAACAGAGAATCTCGTATTCTAATGTACAAAGTCTGTGTTCGACCACTCCTCGAATACTGCGCGTTTCTCTTTAGTAGCACGCGCATAAAGGATAAATTAGGGCTGGAATCAGTACAGAGACGATTTACACTTCGTACTCTTGGAACTGATAGTGTCTTGACATATAATTCTAGGTGTAGTAAACTAGGGCTTGACCGTTTATGAAAAAGGAGACTCAAACTTAACTTTATCTTCTTTTTTAAATACTTAACAAACTCTCCTTCACATCCAGCCAGGCGATTCAATATGCTGAAGCTTCACATTACGACGTTCGTAACTCCTTGTCTTTAGCGAAACAAACATATTCTCGATCTTCTCTCTATATGAATTACTTTACCTGTAAGTTTTCTAGGCTCTGGAATAATCTGCCTCAAACTATCCGTATGTTAAACTCTCTCCCATTGTTTGTTCGCTCCATTAATGCCTATTGCTCCTCTGAAAACGCATTAAATGCTCTAGCGCCTGCAAGTGTATCTTACTCCACAAGTGAGATTATTGGAACTTTAAATGTTTAACTTCTTACTTGCTATCATTGTTTTGTTGTTCCGTGCTCTTTGCTTTTATCTTACTTTCTCTAGTTGTAGATAATTATCGATAACTCGCTCTAGCACTGGAAATAACCTTACAGAACAACGTTGATTAATCATCAGGCTATCCACTTAAGAAAAAATGACAAGTTCCCTGGTGTTGCATTGGCTTGCCGTGATATATGCCATATATAAACTACTTCTCAATTACTTAACAAGCAAACATAAAACTTTCTTATATTTCATGTTTGCTCTCTACATTAAATGTTGCTTTTTATATCAATCTGATCATGCCTATAAACTGGTGTGAATTCTGTAAATATAATTTTCAGAATATATTATTATTATTAGTTTTGTTTGGAAGTCTTGTTGTTCTTTCAATTAAGCGAAATCTAGTCACGAAATTCTAATATTGGATTCATAATCATTTTACGTAACTACAGTCAAGTTACGACAAAAACTTACAGGGGATAATATTGAGTATAGTTCTAATAGATCACTTTTATGAAACAGCATGTACACGTTTTTCAGTAGCATCGTAACTTCATAAGTGATAACTTAGCTTCAGAGCTCATAAACATCTTAAGTTTAACGCGTTACTGGTCATATACTCTTAGTCTGAAATAATAATATTTTAACAAATGTGACTTGAGACAGTTTAATCCCTTTTGACATTCAATGTATAGTGTCAATAAATACAAACCTTTCCATGAATGAATAATTTGGTCCATCTCCATCCGGAACTACCTTTAACGTTTTGGCACGATTATGAGAACGAATTGATTGAATTGACGATTCGTTAGGTAATCCTCGTGCTGCTTGCGCTCTATTCAAGGAATTTGTGGGATTTGTCGATTTAGAGAGGGAATTACTTCCAGCATATAGATTACGTAACTCTAAACGTTGATGAAAACGATCATGTCTGAATGCACCTTTAATAACCAATTGAGGATGCCATACTTTATCCACATCAAGTCGAACACCACCTCCAGCCATATCGACCAAAGTACTTTCAGTGACTCTTGAATCAGTTACTGGCCACTCAGCAAACAATGTTAAACTTGCACGACAAACCTAAATGAAAAAAGTTTAACAAAGTAAATCAATTTAAGTGACAATTGCATTAATTAAAGTTTATTTGGATTATAAATGATTTAAATTTGTCGTTTAAGTTTCCGTCAAAAGAATGAGAGGTTAGTAGGGATTGTTAGTTTTCGAATTTTACATTTATACAACCTTTGAAAAACAAGAAGCATCGAAGAGTTGTTTTGTCCTAACACTGAAATACTAGGCTGATGAGTTACAGATTTCATAGTTCCATGCAAATTTGAGTTAAAAACTTTGTTTTGGTAGAAAACAACTGTATACAAGCAGCATGAGAAAGCTTATTATACAATCAACATTCATAGGTAAACAGTCTATCTGTTTACCGAGTTATCTTTTAGCTGAATAGAAATTAAAAACGTTAGCTTAAATCTTGTCGTATAGATTATGCAGAGGTAAAAAATGAATGTGCTTGAGCTAATAAAGTGCATCTTTGTGATAAAACAAATACGTATTATTATATAAAACTTCTAGATAAAATCTAAAAAATTAACCAGTATTTCACGCATAAGTGTTTTGTTGTTTATGGATCTTTTTGGATCACTACAATCCCCTGAAACATTTGGATTTTTGATAATTTTCTGATATTTATATGACACTGAGAATGAATGTTTTGTAAAAGCTTTCGTCTTACAGATAATATGAAAAAATAACCTTGAATTCACTAGAGTTTTATAATTTAAATAGTTGACTTCATGAGTTGACGTAGGCTAGGCCATCATTAAAAACATGGAAGTACTAGACAACCGTTTCGTCCCAGTATGAGTCCATTTGATATCGGATTGTGTATGCGCACTGTCGAGGAGTTCTATACTAGAATGAAACAACTGTTCAGTGCTTCCTGGTTTTCAGTGATGGTCTAGCTCAAATCGACTCATGGATTCAATTATTAAAATTACTACAATCCCCACATATCCCCTTTCAGATAAGAGTCTTATGACTTCGATACGGAAGGGTTTCATTAGTTCATAGTGCATTACACTATATAAACATGATGAATTAACATTTCATGCATCCAGTAAAAATTTATCATACCAAGTGTATGTCTTTTACCGTCTGACGTCCACTAAATTCCTTAAACTCTTTTATCTTTATCATCATTATTTTTCAGATTGTTTCAGTTTACTATCAATATACTACAAATAATTCTATTTTTAATGTTAATTTAAACAAATTTGACCTTGAGTAAGTGAAGTAATCAAAAGATTTCATAGAATAAGAATGAAAACATTTATCAAATAATCAATAAAGTATTTCAATTTGAGATAAAGATAATTTACAAAGATCACATTGATTGATTGAAATAAATGATATTTAAAGATCTATTTAATAAATTAATGATCATGAAAATGAATACACTAACAACTTGATCTCAATGTAGCTTACAATATAGTTTGAGGATATTAAGATTTTTGAAGAGAATTAAACCATAGATAACATTACCACGGATACTTTAATTTATACTCTTGTTATTCAGTCAGTTGGATCTAGTTAATTTGATGACCTGAATAAGACGTATTTCTGATATATTCCAATTGTGAAGAAATTCGTTTATGAGAAGAAATTTATTTATTTGAGTTTATTGATAATAGGATGCCTGAGAATACAAAACTTGTGATCAAATTGATAAGAATTTACACGGTAAAGTGTATGACACTAAAAACAGTAATGATAAATTAGATCAAAACTAGTGGGGAACATGATTGTCCAGAATAATTTTGTTCAATATATGCATCACGATCAGGAACAGCGATTGTGATAACTCAGGAAATATTAGACAGTTATTTGATATTTTCTGTGTAGACAGTATTGAATCAAGTTAATGTAATTAAACGTAAAATAACTCTTGACAATCGTTGAGTTCCGGACATAAAATAACACTGAGCATATTCAATAATGGGATAAGTACTGAAGGTATGAAATTTGGACTAAAATATCACCGGAACCTATAAAAAACCTTTCAATAAGTCTATTAAATAAGGTTACTGTTATACAATGCATAGTTGTGCATGATGAATACATAAACCAACATTTACTGACTCATATATATGACATCATTCTAATAAGGAATATATCTGAACCGTCTAGTCGTTATGTGAACTACATTTAATAATTGAAATAAATGATATTTCAGAATCTATTTAACAAACACTATGATCACGAAAATGAATAAACTAACTACTTAATCTCAATGTAGCTTACAAGATAATTTAAGGATATTAACTTATACTATTGTCAATATCTATGTTATATTGGAAATACGGAGTTTTGTTTTAATAAAATTCACTGTTCATAGAAAAAAATTATATTCTATTTGTTAAAACTAACTGTTATTAACAAGTGACGGACAAACAACTCATCATATAAAATTAGGTGTAAGTTTACCATGCTTGAAGTGATTACGAGTTCAACTAGTTTGAGAACGGAACGAAGACTCTGAGACACAATGACCAATAAGCTAGCTATTCTGATTCGTTCCAGCCCCATTAACTAGAGAGAGAAGTCTAAGTTCAGAAGTGGAAAATATATTTTACAAGCAGCCAGAAGCACGAACAAAAACGACAAGCACAAATCTAGCGTATGTATATGGCATAAGGATGTCCTTGGGAAACGTTGCAAAATGGCATACTAAATGATACAACGAACCAGTAACATTTAAGATCCCCCAAGTGAGAAGTATGACATGAAGATGTAAATGAGCGCTTCAAATTTTTAAAATAGAATTACAAAAATACGGCACTCACCAAGCGAGTTCTGGGGATCTAACATAACCCAACAGAGTTAGATTGAATGTGTATCTACACTTCAATCTTTATCTATCCTCTTATTGATTGTCAAAACAGACAATTAAAATAACGTACCCACAATTGATTAGTGACTTATATAATACAAATAAATATTTCAACTTTATACTCATTCACTTTCTAGTGTGCTTGGCTTTGCGTACTTGAGGACTTTATTATTGATTATCAACAATAGACTATCCTAACAACTGATCTGATTTTTTAACATTCTCAAGTAAATTTATAGTACTACTAAGAGAACTGATCCGCTAAAATACTCAATGAAAAGGCTATCACATATATTGGAGTTAAATAGAGAAGAATTGACCTCTACAAACTTAGATTCCAGTAAATAATAAAAGTTAATTATTTTTTGTATATATTATATAATAATAGATAGAAATCATCTTGGTAACTAAGTCATCTATGTTGTGTTTACTATTCTTTTGTAAATATACATCACTGCAAATACAAACATACATATTAGTGAAAATTTGTCGCTCTCTGACAAAACGTATCAATAAATGTTGCAATTACTTTAATAATATGAGTTATGAACAAGCGAAACATGAAATTTGTCAAACAGTTATTTATAGATGTAATGAAAATATTTAAGGTTTTTCATCGACTGTATGTATAGTGTATGCTTAGATGATAAGCTAACAAACAAATCTATTAATCAAGTTATGTGTACAATATTTTTACAAATAAGTACCAGTTTTTTCTAATGTATAAATTATTGGTAACCTGACTTTTGACTATTATTAAATCAATAAATTCGTTTTGAAAAAAAGTTATACTCTCGAATTTATGCAGTAAATAAATGACCTGTTTTAGGCAAAAAAACCAACAAAACATTCAACTTATGCTAAGACAAATCAAAGAAAAATGAGCAAAGATGGATGGTGACTAGAAGCGGGTTTCGTCCTATTTGGGATTCGTCAGCTGGATGTACCTGCATCTTAGAGTTGATGTTCACTCTGGGACTCTAACCCAGTACCATTGACTTCAAACGCCATAGCTATTAAGTCCTGATAGCCAGAAAAATGTTCTGTTCAGCTGAAAAATTACAAATCTAAAATGTAATTATCATTAATATTAATACTGATACGTTCTTCAAGATTATTTCAGTATTCGAATTCTATTTTAGTATTCACTCTAATCTTCTGTCTACTTTTATAACATTTTATGCTTCGGTTTATTCTAGTTTATGTTTTTTTACCAGATATATGCTTCTAAATTATAAATGTAATGAACCCCAATAATAAAATCTGTTTTTGTTTTCTTTTCCATACTAATTGTTTGTCTACTGATATGCTGATGTAAACGTAATTGGTTATAAAAATTGATCAACAATTTCGTTCATCTGTATGTTTGTAATGATCTAAGTTGTCTTTATCATTATCATTATCATATAATGGCTATAAGTGTACAGTCATTTATAAATGTAAAACAAATTCTTTACGTTTTTATACCCGAGATCTGATTTCCGTCTTTTTTTGTTTTGTTTTTGTACATAAATATTAAGATGAAAATGGTCTTCAAATGTTTCATGTTCTTTTTACAAATACAAGGTATTCTTCATACTTAAATTTTTTCAAAATCTGTTATACTTTGTGTTTAGAGTAGTATGACTAAATATATTTGATATAAGAAGTTGAATATCGACTGAAGAGAAATTGAAAAAAGAGGAAAGGAACTGAATATAGATTTTATTCAAGTTAAAAATGGTTTAAGAATTTTGATTGAGTTTTGTTCTCTGAGCTGGATGGTTTTAGTCGTGGAGCTTTCAACGTCCTTCTGAACGACATCATCAGCCGAAGTTTATGCTGATGATGTCGTTCAGAAGGACGTTGAAAGCTCCACGACTAAACCATATTGCTCAGAGAACAAAACTCCATCAAAATTATCCACCTGAGCTAAAAATCTTCTCCACCATACTTTAAGAATGTGTAACTATGACCACAAGGAAACTAGCAAAGAACCTTCTGCTTTAGCAATAAACATAATAGTTTCAGAGTATAATATCTGAACTTATTGGCATACACTTACTGTTTCAATTATTTTTGTGACTATACTTTGGTAAAACAACAGTAATATAGAAATAATTGAATCACTAGAGTTATGATTATTATTGTTACGTTGTAAAATTTTTGTTTCTTAAGTAATTAAGTAGTTGTGACATTAGAAATCAAAATAACATTAGACTATAATTTTGAGAAAGTCAATTTCTTTTATTAATTATTCAAATCCACCATTTAAAGACATATATACCGGGAGAATATTGTTTGTATGATATAAAGTACCAATTATAGCATGTTCATGATGCTCAAGTGATTATTAAAATTATTAATTGAATTAATTTTCCTTATAAACTACTGATTTCTTAGTTATAATCTAAATGAATATTGCAAAAAACTTAGACAATTTTTTAAAAAATTACACGCCACTTCTATCTACTGAACATAGATATTTCATTAAATGGCTTTTAAGTACGAATATCCAACCTATATTTAAACCAATGGCTGAATAGGCTTGTTAATATTAGAATAGATAGAACATGGCTGGTAACGGAATAAAGGACGCGCGTTTCATTCTACTCGGGACACATCAATCGGATGTACTAGCATCTGAGGGTTGATGTTCACTCTAAAACTCGAACTCAATACCATCTGCTTCAAACACCATCTTGTAATGTGCTTAAATGCTGAGTCCAGATATTCACTCATTAACACAATGAATGCATTTTTTAATTCAGGCAACTGAGTGGATAATGTGATAACGTTCAAAGCGAACGATACTGGTTACGATTCCTAGAGTGAACATCAGATCTGAGATACAGGTTTATTCAACTGATGAGACCCGAATAGAATGAAAGGCTCAGCCTGGATTGTGCTACTAGTCACATTCTATCAGTTCTATATTAACATGTCACATAATGGCTGTATCAAGGTAATCCACACAGAATGCACATATGTCAACCAAGACTTATCAAATTTCAGTCGAAGTATCTACATCAGGACAATCCAAACCCTTTCAAATTGAATTAGGATGAAAAGGCATATTTATGGCTTAACTTAACATATTCAAAATATATCCTTTATTAAGTTAAGCTCTTTGATTAAGTCAGAATTGTCTTATATCATTGTATATATTATAAATAATAAACTATATTTAATATTGTGTGTGACTTGGTTATAATATGTAACATACTTAGAATGTCATTATTTGATACTGGGATTACATTGATAAGACAGAAAGGGTTGCGGTAATTTTAAACAAATTTCAGAAAAGAGACTTAGTAACTTGAAAAGTATAAATATTCGCTGAGTATTTGATTGTAAATCAATTACCTTCGAATAAAATTTGGTATCACTATTTTCTAAATAGCTTAGCTGACAAAATAATTTAGAGAGTACCTATTCCACAATATGTAATTAATAACTCATATATGATCTTATTGTGAGAGTAAAAATAAACAATACTAATTCATAGCGATTTCAGTGTAATACTAGTGTAACAGAGAGTCAAACGGTTTATAAACCAGTAACTCTTTGTAACACTTATTAATAAATCTAAAAGTAATGATGTAAAAATAAACACAATTAGTTATATTAAACTAAAATAATCCTATTCTGAATGAAAAAACTCACTTAATTTCTTGTCACAAATATGATAACCTGTAAAAACATAATTTGGCAGTAATGAATAGTGATTTAATTCTAATGTACAACTCCTAAGCAATTCTTTACGATAATTTTGTGATTAATCTTCAGGTCTGCTTACAAACACTATAGATATTTTTTATCAGCGATTCCGTATCTAATTCACTTAAATTTGATCTGTGTTAGGGAAGTGGATGAACATGAAGAAGAATTCTACATTATATAAACAGGTACTCAATGTTTGCTTACTTTGCATAATTTTCAAGTCAATGTCAATCCATAATGATAACTAAATTTAAAATCATCAATTTTCACAGACTCTCTATATTAATAAAAATCTATTTTATAATATAAGATAGAGTAAGGAAATGTTACTTTTTATTTTGGATATATCAACTGTTTCAAGGTATAAAAAATGTTTCCTAATTAACCTTCATACCACGTTATATATATATATATATCGTTTTTAATCGTTCAATGATTTGTTTATTTAATCCATCCTGAAAATGTAAGTATTTCCTGAAGAGGATTACTGGATATTATAGTAATTTTAATAGTTGAGATCATAAATCAATTAAAACTAGACCACCATGAAAAACTTGGAGGCACTGGACAGCCGTTTCGTCATATTATGGGACTCCTCAGTAGTGCGCATCCACGATCCCGCCTCACGAGATTCGAACCCACGACCTATCAGTCTCGCGCGCGAGCGCATAACTTCTAGACCACTGAGCCGGATGTCATCTAACGGTGTTAATGTTTGACTTCAACCAATCCACGAAATCGAGCAACCGTTCATCATTGTCTTCAATGAGTTACTATCTCCCAACAGATCTGAGTGAAATTAACTGGTCACTGCTTCTCACTAGAACTCCAAAAAGTACCTCATAGAGCCAGTCACTACTGAGCATATGTTGATTATTAAAATAATCAACATAATTATTTGCCAATCTAAGTCAGTTTTCAATGTATGAAACTACAAATTTATAAATTCACAGCAAAATTACTATGAAAGGTAAAGGTATGTTTAAAATATTCACAAATGATTTCCGTTAAAAATTGGTTCTTTTTTTATGTGCATACAACTTAATAATTATAGACCTCTGAATCATCATCATTATCATCATCTTATTTTACAACGAAACAGTAGTGTTTCTTTTAAATAGATGAAATACTTATCGAAAGTCATATGTCCTGCTGAAATATATAGATAGAAACGAATAATGAATTCCATTAGGAACTAAGTTTGAAATGAATACGCAAATATATAAAAATGTGTATATATGAGTGTGTGTGTGTGTTTGTTCTATGGTTAGTATCCTTAATAACAATTAGGAATATATTGATACTGATTCTTTTTCTTCTTTTGTAATACGATCATTTTTTGAAAATAAAATCGGAAGTGTTACTATTTAAAAGTGGAAAAAATAGAATAATTTTCTTATTTCCCCTCAACATGGAGTCATTTCTTTTTAATTTTGGCACAAACATATATATGTGTGTATATGTAGTAAAATATCAAACTTAATACATATTTAATGAATTTCTCATTTCTATTCCTCAATTTTTTTTATTTTTAAAGACATTTTTAAAAGTAACTATGGCCATACGTAAAAGATGCTGTGTACACTGTTGGATTTGACTTTGAACAAGCAAGTATTGAAAACTAGGAAGCAATAGGCATCTATTTGTCTTGGAAAGTGACTTCATAGAAGTAAGCATCCGCAATTCCACCAGAGATATACGTAATGACCTTCAGATTTTGTGGTGAGAGCTTAATATACAGATCACTATGTTACTACTCAGTGGTTTAGATTCTTTTTTTTCTAATAAAATAATACATAACTTGCATCCGTATGGAATGGAATGATTTCCAAAACATTAAATATCAGTTTTGACATTACGTATTATTCAGTGAAAGCTTTAATTTCCTCATTCCATTTAGAAAATACCACTAGCATAAACTTTACTAAAAAACATGATTTGAGATTTCAGAAATTATGTATTTTAATACAGAGAACACAGTAGCTGAATTATTTTCTAAGTCGAATTATAGCGTCATGAAACTTTTTAAGAAACTACGTAAACATTAACCTCGAATCCTACTTAGCTTGGACCTATTATTCAATATGCTTCTTCCTTCAAACATGATACTTGTCATTGATTTTCCTGTACATAATATCTGTTGCAAAAATTTGATATAACTCTGATTTATCACTTTTCTCAAATTAAACGTTTTGATTTTTTCCTGGAAAGAAATGAAATTGAAGCTATCCAGAGCAATTGTGGACAGTCCTCAAATGCTCTTGTACGGCCGAGGATGTGAGGAGAGTTCGCTCTCTCTCTCTCTCGAAATGCTCTCACATGGCCACGCGAATATATAGCCTTTACCAGGGAAGTCCTACTCACCGCCTTCTCACACTAGGGTGTAGTTTATGAAATGGAGAGGACGAAAAGCAAATGTCTGGCACTCTATACGGGTTGGTGGACACGGAGGGTACACTTAGGGAAGTTGGAAAACCCTGATTCCAAACCAATGGTGCACATGTGCTGCCGTATCCAGAGGGAACAAATGGCGTATGAATCAATTGTTGGTTACCGTCTACCATGGGACTACATCTCCTCACGATGCTCCACTGCCTTGTGGATTAGATCTTCAAGTCAAAGTCTCCGGGTGTCGCCCCCTAAGAAAACCACCTGCTTCAGTCTGGGCACCTGGGCAGTATCTCAGCCCTCACACAAATCGAATGAGATTTGTGTGGCGCATATATATCTGGTGCTCCAACGAACCAACGAACCAAAACATCTTTTTAGTGCATTTAAGCGTACAATGGTTACCTTAATGATAATATTTAAATAGAAGTTTCGAAAGGATTATAATCACTGACCAATTTTGAGAGGTAATTCTCTGAATTTTAGTGATAAACCTTAGACAACAAAGCTTAACTATCTCGAATGTAAGAGAGATCCACACCAACAGCATTAGCAAATGGTTGTGCATTATACCGACTCACTGATTTAAAGAATAAATTTTATTCACTAAATCTAATGTTTCTTGTTCCTTTTTCCGACTGGATCGTGGATGCTTAATACTGAGGTGCCACATGCTAGGAAAAAAGAGCTCCTCGATCTATAGTGATTGTTTAACTAAGTTCAAATCAAGAAGTAAACCTTGGAGCTTATGATGATGAAATGTAGTTAGAAAGATGTCTCATATAATTCATTTTATGTTATAATAAATCTCACAGTCAATATATAATGTAACTAGAAGTAATCAGAATTATCTACAGTTATTATTTAACATAAAAAAATAACTTATGTGTATACAAATTGAATGATGTTTTGATTTGGTACTGCTTTTAATCAACGGTTGATTTAATTGTCACGTCAACTCTGAAAATTATTGCTCGCTCGCGAGACTGATAGGTCGTGGATTCGAATCTCGTGAGTCGGGATCGCGGATGTCCACTGCTGACGAGCCTCACAATGGGACGAAATGGCTGTCTAGTGCTTCCAGGTTTTTCATGGTGGTCTAGCTTCAATTGAGTCATGATTTCAACTATATAAAAATTATTGATTCACTTAAAATCCTCATTATAAAAATAACTAAAACTGACAAAGATATACCTAAGTGTAACTGTAACATTATTTTTCTTGAATAAATTAATATTGAAAGTATAAGAGCTTTCATCTAAATTGGAGCGAATAGTATCACAGTATTTGGGCGCCTATTTAATGTCCTTATATTAAAAGTATAAAAATAATGTTACGTAAAATAGATTGACACAAATCGAATTTATTTATAATAACCAAAATGATTATGAATTATCAATCAGTAACAATAATTGACATTATAGCAACTCAGATACAATTGAGTTTGTTTACATCTAATTCAGCTAAGCCCTTTTGTTAACTTATTTAATGGACAGTCATTCATACAATAACAACCCATCTATACCATTGTACTTTTTTATATACACTTGAACATTGCTCACTGCCTACGCATATATTCATTCCGCTAGCATTATTATTAATCGCTTATTTGATCCGATGATTCATGCTTTTCCACTTATACATATATATATATATATATATATATATATATATATATATATACATCTTAATCCTGTTTACTGCACTTGCCCTACTTGCTCTCTGCTCTGCACTACGCTACACCGTACTGTACATACTTATTCATTCGGCTCTACGGCACTGCTTTTTCATGCTTGCTTGACGTACCTGTAATATTGGATAACTGTGTGTGGTTCAGTTATAAACGCGATCAACCCTTCTTATTCGTCTTCTGATTTATGCATTGTTAGGACGTTGTCGAGTAATGGTTATCAAGACGAACAATATACGAAGCCTAGGGATAATATCGAAAATCGACCACCACAACATACATGGTTTTACATGAAATTTTTTTGAAGGTTAAAAAAACACACAAAATTCATTTTTATATCAATTAATATTTGTAAAACTATTTGTAATCAATCTAGCTCAACTGTTTAATAGTGTACAGTTATAGTTGGGATTTGTTTTATTCACCAAATGGGTGAATAACCGTTTACTTTTCTTCATGAGGTAAGCATTGATATTATTGTTCATTAAAACAATTCTTTATAATCATACCATAAAGTTTACAGAACACAATGCAATACAACGTATATGAGCTATTAATGCTCCAAATTATTTTACATTTTATTATGTCATACACTATTACAAATAGGTCGGGATCAAACGGACAATGATATTTAGTAAAACAGTAAGATGTTTATGTAATTCCATTATCCTATATTTCTATTACCCATTCAAATATTAATAAAATTTCAATCCTTATTGTGCATATTATGTAATCACATATTTTTAATATGACTGTCATTAATTATAACCTTAATTCCCTAACTTTGTATGACCATTCCTTTGAATGATAATTTAAGTATCAAATTTAGCTACGGAACTTCTCATCGTAGTTTTATGTTTCTTTTGGTGTCTAATGAATTTTTATTCTTTTCACTAAATTTACATTATAAACTACTAACAGACTAGTATATAATACTAACTGTAAGGATATTAATTTTCATATCTTTGTGATTTAGAAATGAAATTCATTGGTTATTCACTAACCTATAGGGTTCCTGAATAAATTCCTTGATATCTAGTGTATCCATAAAGTGAAATTTCAAAGAGGTTAAAAGTTCTCGCCTAAACCGAAGATCACGGGTTCGAGTTCCATGTGCGGGATCATGAATGAGCACTGTTGAGGAGTTCCATACTAGGATAAAACAGCCGTTCAGTGCTTCCAGATTTCCAATCGAATTCTAATTTACATTGATTCATGAATTCAGCTTTTAGATTTCAAAATAATACCTACAAATTTCGAGTT